GCTCTAAATGACTACAAAGGTAAAAAAATCAAGACTTGGCATAAACCTAAAAAAAATGCATACCACATGGACCATTTTTACAGTTTTATCTTTAATCTATTTAATTCTAAGGCCCCATTTGATACACATATTTCTTCCAGGTCCAAACAGATCTTCTTGGCTGAATGGACTGAAAAGACTGTTTGATATGCACAAAAAATAGGACTTTTCCAGTAACATACGTCTTTCTCAGAAAGCCCCAAAATCATATATTTATGGCGGAATAGGCTGGAAAAAACAATTGTGTATCTTTCTTTCTTGGATTATTAATTTTTTTGAAATATTTTTTTTAATTTCTTTTTTATTGGATTATTATATATTAATAAATATTATTTTTACTATATAATATTTATGTATTAATTAATATTATTTTATTGGATTATTAATGTCTTTTAAATAATTTTTTCTATTTCTTTTTTATTGATTAATTCTTTTTATTGGATTATTATATATTAATAAATATTATTTATAAATATATAATATTTATATATCAATAAATATTACTTTATTGGATTATTAATTTTTTAATTAATTCTTTTAATACATTTTTATTGGATTGATTTTTTTGGACAACCCCACCATCATCTAATATATTTTAAAAAATTCTATCCATCATACCACTATTAGAAATAAACTAGGTCAAGAATCACACGTTGAGTTATAAACTAAAAACAACTTAATTCACATTCTATTTGGATTTTAAAATGATTATTGTGTAATTTTGATTTTGTATGCCAATTTATATGTTTTTATAATTATTCAGCAACTTCATCCATCACAGTATAGAACAATAGGGTAATATTGTTATTTTTCATCATTCAGCACAGTCAATCAGATGTACAATCAAACAATATGGTTTCTTTCTCAGTCAGAAAATTTTCTCATATAACACTTTTTCGAACAGAAACTATCAAACGGGACCTAAGTCCTTCAAACTATACTCAACCAAATCCTAAAATTCAAATTATAACTAAAACAAATCTACTTAAACAAAAATAAAACGAATTACAAGAATATAAGATTGATGAAGTAGTAATTAATGAAATAACAACCAACAAATGAATTATATCATTTGATTCCTATATCAATATGATTCATAGGATTTTATTACCACTTTATTCATACATGGAATCAAGGGAGAATGTTATGATAAAAAAATTAAAAAAAAAAAAACCAAGCCTAAAATTACTTGTTAAGAGTTATAACTCCTTACCCAAATTTAATTCAATTCCATATAATCTAAAAACGAAATAAAATTACACATAAGTAGAGAAGTTGCCCAGTAATAAATTATAAATTAGAATTTGATTGAGGTGATATGTATAGAATTACACATACCGACAACAGTAACGAACTCGTTGTCTTTATATAGAATCTTTTGAAAACCTATTGGATTAAATTTTGTTTGAATTTATGGTTTTAAACTTAAGTAAATGTAAATTCTTATAGTAAAAGCTCATAATTATTAATCAATTATTTTCAGTCAGTTATTAATTAAACATGATTTTGTAGGATTTTCAATATAAAAATAGAATTAATTATCGGTAATTGTAACCGAAACTTCTTTAAGACGAATATATATATATATATATATATATATATATATATATATATATATATATATATATATATATATATATATATATATATATGGGAAAAGTGAATATGTGGCTGTCATGTATGTAATATTAGGTATAGAACCATCAAAATTGACTTCATTTTGAATAAAAAACACAATTTTTTTCATTGTTAGCTTCTTCCTATTGCTTTTGAGATCATATTATTTATTATTTCATAATTTATCTCCAACATTTAAGTATTTCGAATGTGTTGTTTATATTAGACCTCTAGTAGACTTCATAATTTTCTTTGACGCCTACCATATATGTACTTGTATGGTTCTTTTTGATGTGTTATCGGAAGAATTTTATTTGGTTTTTATGAACAATTTCAATCTTTCACTATAGTTTTCTATATTAAATTTGAATATGAAGATTTATAGGTAGTTGATAATGTATTTTTATACATAGTTTGTGGTGCAAAATTAAAATTTTAAAACTCCACAAAAATATATACAAAGCCTACCATCTAGTCTAATAGAGAATAGAAGAAAGATGGTAGAGAGATTTGATTGCATTTTGTTAAACTATGTAGTTTTTGATGGTTCTATACCTAATATTAGATACATAACAGCCACATATTCCCTAAACCATATATATATATATATATATATATATATATATATATATATATATATATATATATATATATATATATATATATAGAGAGAGAGAGAGAGAGAGAGAGAGAGAGAAAATGATAAGCATCATTTTTATCAAGAATTTGAAAAGAAAACGTAAATTATAATAAAATAACAAGTAGCATTAATAATTATTCTTTTATTAATATAGAAAGATTTTAGGATTTGAACAAAAGAAGTTGAAGATGAGAGTCTAAGTATCATTTTACTTTGGACAAACATCCACCACCTTTCAACACCATCAGAGAGTGTTAGACAAAACTACGGTTTAAGCCTTGGGCTAAGCGGAGTGGCTTGCAATATACCCTTGCTAAACTCGTTAAGCAACTTGGAACACCGCCCCCTAGCGCTCACTAAGGAGCTCGCCATGGGAGGCTTGGTGAGAAGAAAGAGAAGGTGAGAAACGAATGTGATTGGTCCATGTGTGGTTTGAAATCCGGATTGCTAATTTGCTTGATAAAATTCAATTTGTTGAATTCAATTAATGAACCTTGCTCTACAAAATGGCGATTTTGTTCGGCTCATTAAGCCATCTTTGTTGTTCGGTTTTAAAGCACATGAAATATGGGATATTTATCGAATGGTCCTTGTAGTTTTACTTTACTTAAGCTTAGTCCCTTGAGTTTTAAGATTTTTTCTAAATCAAGTGAAATTATGTTTCATAATGATATCACAATGGTACAAATTTATTTATAATAATAGTTATAACTAATTACAAAACAAATAAATAATTAAATTTAAAATTTTCATTTGTGAAACAAGTTAAATTAGTGATACATCAATATTTTGTAACATATACTGTTGATTATCAAACATTCAAACTTATTTAAAACATATATTGTTATCAAATATTATATTAATTGTTTGTGGTTTAAAAAATAAATTTTGTTTATTATTTATTCACCAAAAAAACATTCACAAAAAATGTTTCTATATTAATTATTAAAATAAAGTAATTAAATTAAATTAGAAAAAAAATACTAGGAATGTTACCACTTCCTATGTTAAATGTTTAAAAATGTATCTAACAAATGCAAAGATTATGTGCTAAATGTTCAAAAATAAAGTGGCACTTCAAAATCTGACATGGCAAGGTGTTCGAAATGTTATCATTTTCCTTAGCCTTAAGAACCATCTCTGCACCAAATCAAACATACAGTGATAGACTACACCTTGTTCCCGAGTTTTTTTGTAAATTCGATAAAGGAAAGGGAAGAAAAATTTTAACAGAAAGAAAGGGAAGAAAAGAAAAATATTCATTATTCCATGTTTCGGAGTTCGAAAAAAATAAAAAGAAAAATTTAGGTTTTTGTGTTGCCGAGTTAAGAGGAAAAAGAAAATAAAACTTAAAATTTTCTTTTCCCTCACTTTCTTCCCAAAGCCGTCCAATTTGAAAGGATGTTTTGGAAGGAAAATATGGTTCTAAAATCATTTTTCTTCCCTTACTTTTCTTCCATTAATGAAATTCGGGAATACGATTTTCCTTCGACACTCATCATTATCGCTCTGTATCCTTTCATTTCCTTCCTTAAATAGAACTCGGGAACAAGTCGTAAATTCATAAGTTACAACATACCACATGGATGAAAATTGTAATTTACTCTGTAACTTTTAAAACAGTATTATCATTGAACCTATATAAAACTAAATTTGAACGTTATAAAAACTAAAAAAATTTAGTACATATTAAATTAGAAAAATAACTAAAATTGTTTCGTTTTCCATCTGTTAGTTGCATTGGGCCATAAGAAAACCCACTTATGACTTGTGCAATACCAAATCTACCCTTGAATTAAAAATACCTACAAAATATATAATAATTGTAATAACCGGATTCGATTCCAATCTATTCCAACTTGAAACACACCCAATCAGAATCGGGTCTGAGCGTGGATTAGCTATAGTAAAACCTTTATAAATTAAAAATTTTAGGATTAAGATATTTTATTAATTTTGCAAGATATTATTATATTAAAAATTTAATAAATTATTAATTTAAAAAGTTGACTTATATTAGTGAGCAACTCTCAAATTAATGTACAACCTTCATAATTTTTTGTTGCAATATGAAAATACTATGTCTCAATTTTTAAATACAATTAAAAGATTTAAAGATGAACTCAATGTAGATTTAAAATTCAAAAAAATAAATAAACAAATAAATAAATATGACTATAAACTCATTTTTAACTAACAATTCTAAAATTTTAAAATATTTTAATAATTATTAATTTATAGTTTCGTTGTTGTGATCAATATATTTACATTCGGATTTCAAAAAAAATTATTATTTTATTACTTTATCGATTGGGGTCTAATTTTGTACTGTTCTGGAAGCGAACAAATTATTAATTTTATCAAGGTTATTAATTTATCGAGTAATAAATTATAGAGGTTATACTATACTTCCCTAACGATTTCGGGAAAAAAAAATACTTTATTCGACTACAAAAACCACAAAGATTTATGTCCAATTATTCCATTCTTCATGCCAATTTCTTTCTCCCAATCATCCATCCACATAGTTGCACAACATTCATATCAACACCACCACAAAGAAAAAAAAACATCACCTACATATACCCGATTCTTAACAAGTCAAACATTAAGAAAAAAAAAGTCAACCATTACTATTTTCTCAGATGGGTCATCTTCGCTACCATCATCAAGAACAACTCCATAACTTCCCCAAAGTACATTGCTATTTTGCAGTTTCACCATTGAAGGGACCATTCTCATCATCTCCTTTCACAACAGAAGAAGCATCACCAGTACTACACTCACTCACAACCCCAATTTCACCTCGGGAATGCCGGAAACCCCTCGATCTGGAACCGGAATCCTGCATTCCGTCTTCTCTCCCCTTCTTCCTACAGTTAACAGTCAAGAACCCATTAGCAAGCGCCTCCAACGCCCTAGCAGTCGGTGGCCTGTTCCGGGTGCTCTGCCTCCTCGAACCACCACCACCACCGTTTTCCTCCACCTTCGGAACCACCAAACTTTCCAATTGCTTCTCCGGCACAAATTCAGAATTCATGAATTCCGGAGTCACATTCAAATCAATTAAATTCATCTTGTGTTCATCAACGGTGTCAATCGAGCTGCATTTTGATGAAAAACTTAAATTCGACGACAAATTATGATTATTAGCTTGAGAGGATGAACCAACATTTTCCGTCAAATCATCGGTGTCGCGGCTGGAACCGGCTTTCGCGCATGCGGTTAATCTCCGGCGACGTTTGTGGTGGCCGGAGTTGTTTTCCGGTTTAGCTTTCCGGGCCAATTTAGCCTTTGAAACCACCTTCCTTTTAACCTCCGGTGACTTTCTTTCATTTTCATCACCGGTTTTCAGTTTCTTGTTTGGCTTACAACCCGTTTCTTGTTCCGCAAGAAACATGTTGGTGTTGGCACTATCTGATTCGTCGGAAACCAATTCCGATACTTCACCGGAATCCAAATCCCGGGGTTCGATTTCTCTCACTCTTACAATCTTTCCGGATAAACTCGTGTCGACGACTGTAAACTTGAATAAAAGCGTTCCGAGACTCGGGGCACGAGGTTGAAGGTAACAATGGGTTTTCCTTTTTTCAAGAAATGCGTCTTCTTCATCTTCTTCTTCTTCTTGTAATTTCATTTCAATGTCACCGTTTTCGTCATCAATTTCGAGAATCTGTGGGTGTGAAGCGACTCTGTTTAAAACATCTGTAACCGAATCCATATACGTTTCCCCTTTGATTAATCTTCTTGAGAATTTCTTGATTCCAGGCATTAAGAAGACCAAATTGTGTTTTCCATTTGCAGTGTAGTTGTAGCCGTTTGGTTGTTCTGAATGCCAACCGTTTGCAAGTAAGCGAGGCCACACGGCTTCCCAGAATAAGTCGTTGGATCGGGCTTTGCTTAAGCGGTAATCGCCGGTTAGGAATTGAATGATTTCGGTTGATGAGAGAGAAGAACAGGCTTTGCCGACCGGGATTTCCGGGCGGATGTGGATGGCTTGGTTTTGCTTGGTCGGCTCTATGTTGCTGCCCGTTAAATCTTGCTTGCCTTTTCCTATTGCCATGGCATCAACAAAGGCTTTAATCCCAATTAAACTTCTTAATGAGAACACGTATTGTTCTAGTGATATTCTCCCATCTCCAAATGACCTACAAATCTGCAACCAAAACCCATTACAACATAATCATTAGTAAATATTTCAACACCAAATTTTATGAAAGTAAATAGTCTTGAATTACTGCTTTTTGATTTTATCTATTACCTATAAAAACTAGGTCAAGATGGTCAAGTACTTTAAAAGTTTAAATGAAACTTGACTTCTAAGTTTTTATTAAATCGTCCCTTAACCCTAAACCATAAACCCTAAACACCAGGCTTCAATGGGACAAAATTTGCAATTTTTTGTCACCCAAAAAGGTGGGACAGGCTAGTGATATCTCGTGTGTGTAAAAGACATGAATGCCCTATGATATCTTTACAGACATTAACTTTCCAAAATTGGAACATTGATCATTGTATAAAAGGAAATAGACCCCAAATGCATCAATAACTAATATCTTGTACTCTTGTAGTCTTTTAACCAACATATGAAGTCTTTTGCTTTTCAAACATTTGAAGACCCAAGGGTTATTTCAGTCAAAGTGCATATCCTGATTTTAGGAATTTTTTGTGCAAGAATAGCATGCCTTTTAAAACCAACAGATAAAAAAAAAAAAAAAAGGATTTTAATGTACAGAATCGTAATATGAAAGCTTTGGAAGATGCACAAAAAGAAGATAAAAATATATTTGTTTAGAAATTCATAGAAATAATTTATACCCAACAGCAGTAGATAAAAATAAAGATCTTCAGTTGAGCACTGTTTTCACACGTTGAACAGACTTAAAATAGTCAAAACTATTTACTATTTCTTTAAAATTACATTATCGAAGTGTATTTTCATGCATTTGAGCACAAAAAATAACTGACAAGCACACTAAACAGAACTATTAGGGTTTTCTTTCACTAGAGTTTTATTCTTAAAAGGGTATCATAAATCATTAGTTTAGGGAGATGCCAAATATCTCAAAGTTAATTCCCACATCTTTTTGCTAATTCCTGTTTCAAAACCATTAAAATGGTCTGATGCCCTTGGTCTGGATTCTCCATAATTTCAACTTTTTGGATGGATTTTTTTGAACTGAGTAGATGAATTAGTAAGCTAATGGAATGAATCACATTCCTTCAAGAATTGTTCATTCTATTCCAACAGACATACACTTACCTAAAGCCCACTGTATACTAATGAGATCAATTTCTTCTACTATGTAGTTAGATTTATCTAAATATCTTCAAGCCAATCAAACCACTTAAAAAAGTAATTTCAAGAAAATAAAAACATATGAATGTAAAGTAAGTTTTTATGACATACCTCCAACAGGGAATTCTGGCATTCTTGAGAAACATTTGGCATCAAACGAGAAAGCAACTCCTGTTGTCTTAAAGTAGTAAAAATTCTTGCTCCCATTATACACCTTTTCCCTCTACTTTTCCTAGATTCTGACCACCTTCTATATTCATCAGACCTATAAAATGTCCCATAGTAGTATGCCATTATGTCCCCCATGTTTTTACTCTCAATAAACCTCTTCAATCGAACAAAATCCTTCTCAAATATATACAATCCTAGGACAAAACTACCCTTTTCAGTTTCTGTCCATGTTTCTAAAAAGCAGCCAGGAACAAGACAAAGGTCATTGCTAATGCTACCCAAATCAGATGTTGAATTTGAATCCTCTTGCTTTATATCGATTTGGGCTTCTAGTTTCATCTCCCTTTCTTTTTTGATCCAAAAAATTGGTATATCTAATCCTATCAAGAACTCACTTGATACTCCTGCTTTCATTTCTTCCTCAATGGGATTCTTTATGTAATCAAGATACTCGGGATTTGTAATCAATGGTGGGATTTGGGTTTGGTATTCATCACCAATACGAGAATGGGTTCCTATTGCTCCATATAAACCATATGCATAAGTTTCTGAAGGGAGTGGATCTTTTCCTGACATGTCACTGCTACAATCTTCATTGGGTTCCATTTGATTGAATTTATCTGCAAACGCTATCAAATAAAACACAAATTCAATACAGTAATCATAGTACATAACCTAAAGAATCGTCATTCAGAGTAGCCCCTCTTTTCTTACAAAACAGCTAACAGTAACAAGCAAGTTAATCCGATGGAAGAAACCCCTTCATATGGGAAACAATAACACCAAATTTCTGATAAACATTTACAGAATATATACAATAACAATGCAAGAAAACTATTTTTATAAGCTGGATAGGAAAGGATCGTAATGCGTTCCAATCAGACGAAACAATATAGGGTTAAAACAATATCAAATTAGTAGCTCCATTTTCAAACTTCAATCGAGCAAGCATCCAGCATAACATAAAGGGGATAAACGAAACAAAAACTTTGAGCGAATAAGAACATGTACGAATTTGCTTACAGCAACAACCGCATTAATCTCAATCGAACAAATCCCACCGTATCACAAACAGCCAAAAAGCAAATAACATCTCCAAAGCCTCGAAATAAATTAAGAGATAAAATCGCAACAAAAACACAACAAACCAACATTTCAACAAGTTGCGTAATAGAAAACCACAATGCGATCCATCAGACAAAGCAACATCTAATCAGCCGTCAAACACAAGCAGAACCAAAATACAATCCATAAACTCGAACCTTACAACCGCAGAAAGCAAGAATAGCGTTGTTAAACAGTCAAAAAAACGGAAGCAGAGGGGGAGAAGTTTACATATGTGTTTAACTGCGTTGATTCATCGTTGTGAAGAAGATGGAAACATGCAAAACGTGAAACATGAGTAGGATAATACCTGGTTCAGAAAGGAGTTGTTGAGGGTGAATCGCGAAGTGGTGAGAAGGTAGAGAGAAACCCAATTAGAGACGGAGGGGAAAAGAATTGAAAGAAAGAGTGTGACGCCAGTCTCCGCGAGAGAGAAAGAGAAAGAGAGAGAGGGTTTTGTGGAGAAAAAAAGCAAAATTTGATTATATGAATATGAGTTGAGAAGAGAGAGATCGGGTCTGGTCCGTTTACGAGACGAAAGACAGATTTTTTTTTCAGACGCGATGGAAGCGCGTGAGGTTAAACTTGCATGCAATATAACGTGGCACGCTTCACATAGTTTTAGTAAACGTGATCCATGGAAATTACTAATTAATTTTAGTAAATAATAATCGATTGTCAATTTTTATGATTTATTTGAACATGTCTTCAATGATATTTATTGTTTTTTTCTGTTGTGATGCACATTAATGAGTGATCTTTTAGATTAAATTTGTTTAAGTGAAACAAGTAATGTATGAAAAAAATAGAATAGGGTCATGAAATGACAACAAACTATGTGAGTTTACTCGGTTTAAAATACTTCAAGTGGTGAAGTTGTAATAATGTATATAAAATAGAATAGGGTCATGTAATGACAACAAACTATGTGAGTTTCATTACTCAATTTCAAATACTTCAAGTGGTTAAGTTTCTGACGTGGTGTAAATCCTTGGAACACAAGGACAAGTTATTCAACTTATTTTGAAACAATAATAGACTTCAGATTAGAATGGAATAAGGATATATATATATATATATATATATATATATATATATATATATATATATATATATATATATATATATATATATATAATATTTATCATGTTAGTATTGACCGAGCCCGATTCGAGATGCTATATGGTCGGAGGTGCCGGACTCCAGTGTGTTGGAACGAGGTTGGACATCGGATCATGGGGAGCACTGAGGTGGTATCTTGGCAGTCAGAGACGGACGCATGAATACATAGTAGGTGTTGCCGGGATAAATAGGTATTGCCGATATATAAAAAATAGTTAAAAAAATCAAAAAATTAAAATTTTTTACACTGCAGCCAGAAAAGTTAAGAATTGTCGGGTCCACATAGAGAATCCCTTATAACCGTCCAACAGTCATGTTCCTATTGGGAGTATCATGTATTTTCTTCCATTCATGTTCTTATTGGGATTATCATATATTTTCTTCCATTGATGAACACCATGAGAAGATATTTGTTTTTTATTTATCTTTTCTAATGCATCTAAATAGGTGGTTCTCCTTATTCGTAGAAATCTAAAACATGTAACAATATTGGTTTTCTAAAACAGTTGTGAAGGCGCACAATGTGGCATTTATAACTCTCTCCCGAAGTTTTACAATACAACTAAGGTGTTATTTGGTTCGCAAAATGTTGCTGAAGTAATTTGAATTGGAATTGGGAAAGAAATTTGTCAGGAATTTGAATCCAATTCCATATGTTGTTAGGAATTTGAATCCAATTTCATATGTTGTTTGGTTAGCAGGAAATGGAATTAAAATTAATTCTACGTTTTGTTTGGTTCATAGGAAATAGAATTGGAATTCATGTAAAAAGATAAAATTACCATTTTTATTGTTTTTCTTAATTTTACTTTGTTTTCTAACTTATATGTAAAGATACATTATATAAGTTATAAAAAAAAAAGTAAAATTTAGGCAGTGGTGGCAGTGGTTGTGGGGGTGGTGGCGGTGACAGTGATGGTGGCGGCGACAGTGGTAGGTGGCAACGATGGTGGTGGCGGCGACGGGAGTGGTGATAGTGGTGGTGACGTTGATTATGGTAGAGGTGGTAATTATGATGGTAGCAGTGGTGGTTGGTGGTAGTGATGATGACGTTGATGGTGTTGATGGTGGAAACATTAGTGGTAGCATTTGATGGCGATGGCGGCGTTGGTAGTGGTGGTGGTGGCGATGATGATGATTGTGACGTTGGTAATGGTGGTGGGTGACGGCGGAGGTGGTGGTGGCGGCATTGCTAGTGGTGATGGTGGGTGACGGTAGTGGTAGTGGTCGAGGTAACGGTAACACTAGTGGTGGGTGGTGGCGGCGGAAGTAGTGGTGGTTGGTGATGGCGGCGGCGGTGGTAGTGGTGGAGGCGACACGTGGTCGGTGGTAATGGGTGGTTGGTGGGGGGGGACAGTGATGGTGGTGGCGGCAATGGAGATAGTGGTAATGGTGGCGGCGGAGATGGTGGTAGTGGTGGTGTGTTTTTTGATAAATAAAAGGGGTATTTTTGTAATCTGTCACTTTTCTTGATAAGAATGAATGTTTTCCATCCAGCTTTGGAAGGAATTCACTTTCCTCAATATGGTGGAAAGTTTATTTCATTTAGGAATACTTTTCCTCCTTCTAAGTCCAACCAAACACATGAATTCGAAGGAATTTGAATCTTTTTCCCTCGAATTCCATTATTTTCTTGCCAACCAAACGCACCCTAAGGTTATTCCCAATGGGGATTGAATGGGGAGTTTAATGGTGAAAAAGTGATGATGTGGTTATCCAATTGATTAAATCCATCATTGCAATAAATGTGAATTTAATGGGGACTGAACGGTGGTGTATATATATATATATATATATATATATATATATATATATATATATATATATATATATATATATATATATATATATATAATTTATTTTATATAAGCAACATATTTATTATATTTTGATTTACTTTTTATTTATAATTTTAATTTTTTTTATTTAATGATAATTAGTCAATTAAAATGGTGTATTTTAATTTTGTAAGTAATTAAACTTTCTTTTATAATTTACTTTTTAATTGTCTAAATAATGAGTAGAAAAATATAAACAAGCATTTTCAAAATAAAAAATTTAACTTTTAATTTTGAATTATTTTAATGTATTAATATTATTTAAATAAAAAAAATATAATAAAATGGTGATGGCAATCCATTAAATTTTAATAGAGTTGAATGTAGTGTGGAGTCCATTGAATTTTTAAGAGTTCAATGCATTGGAGATGGCTTAATTACTACCTTTACAGTTCAGCAGCTTTGGACAACATTTTTGTTGTTATATATTAGAATCGTAGTATTAGACCTCCATTCCCTACGCATTAGGGTAATTATGAGTCATATAAGTCCTTCCGACCAAAGCACTATTATGTAGTTACAGTAATTTGATATCGACTAACAACTTTGTTCATCCCTATCTTCCTTAAATACATTTTCGCTTCCTTGCTACTAGATCTTAGTCGGGATTCCTCTTTGATCCTTCTTTGTAAGTCTGAATACTACCTTAAAATCCTTATATATTTATATCGTTCACGATCAAAGAACCTTTATTGAATAAATCATCATATTCCCTCTTATATATCCACATTATTCACTAGAACTTGATTGTTTCATTCCTTAATATACTTATTTCCAATGTCCTCTTTGCCGACTCTTTCTGTCTTTAGCTAGATTATAGATTTCATTTCCCCTTTCTCTTGTTTATGATATTATATACATCTCCTTGCATGGCATGGACTTAGTTATAGCCATTGGTTTCTTTTCCCCATGATTTCAATATTTGTGTCATTCTTTTTTCATACCCCACTCATCATCCTCACAACTTTATAAACTCCTTAAAGTAATTATGTGTAACCCTAGCCTAGCTTATAAACCCTTATTCCATCACCATTATTCTTTATGTTCCCTGACATGGCTATAGACATCTCAAGTAAGCTATTTCTTCTACTCCTTATAAGATAACCCCACACTTATGTGAGACCAACTCATCGTCATCAAATTTTTACCATAAGCACCATGCTTTTTTTCCCAAATGTGTCAAACTCATTGATTTAGGCCAACATGCAACTAGGTTCAAAATATTCTGAAAAAAATCTAAAAAAACAAGAGAAATGTGCAAATTAATTTAAACAATGTAACACCCGGTTTTTCAGGTATACATTAAGTTCTTTGAAACATTATGGTTTGGGAGTTTCCCGTCACCACGATGTGGTAGGGCTTGCACCACGGTGTGACGGTCATTTAATTACCACGGCATGGGAAGAACCTCGTCACGGCATGGTGGCGACTGGGGCTCAAAAACCTAGACCTCAGGCCTTGGCCCTTATTTAAGGGATGTGATGGCTAGGGTTTCGTCCACCCTCAGCCTCCATCACCTTCATGAGTATAGAAGCAAACCTTATCCTCCTTATAATCTTTTGAGCTCATTTTGGGTGTTTTGTGGCTTTTGAAGGAAGAATAGAAGCTTTGTAGAGCAAGGATGTAACATCCCAAAAATCCATAGTAAATTTTTCATTTTAAAAACAATAAACCATACAAACGAGTTGTTCCAAAACCAATCAAAGTGAATATATCATTTAAACCTCAGAGTAAAAATCATGAATAGTCGATGAAGAAAAAAACTCTACAGGATGCTGTGCAGTCACGTCAGGCCCTTCCCTTTGGAACCGGAAGCACCTAAAACCATAAACATGAAACTGTAAGCAAAAATCTTTAAGAGTTCCCAAAACACCAAATACCACACATATAATAGAGATTGTTATGTGACAACCATAGTCTTACAATTATCGTCATGCCATGAGTCGTATCATGGTCTTTCCTTGCCAAGCCAAGGGCCAAAACCCAAGTCTTACAAATAAGTGCCAAGAGTCAACTCCTAGCCTTCTATGCAAGCATCACAAATATAACTAGCATACTACATATAATTGCCAGGGTCCATACCCTAGTCTTGCATACAATTTTCCGAGAGCCATATCCAGGTCTTTCATACAATTGCCAAGGTCCACCACCTGGTCTTCCTACACAACATTGTAATGGTAGTTTGGTTGTAATGAGTTGAAGTCTTATATGTACTCTTCGTATGATATGTTATCTATTTTACCAAGGCACATTATTCGAAGCTTAGATGTCTAGTCCTTAGTATATTTTTTGTACGCTTTTATTCTTATATAAATAGGAGTCTTTACTAGAGTTAGATAAGGTTTTTACAGTCTTGTCTAATTTTGCACTCTATAAACCTAAAGCGTAATATTGAGCTGAATCAAGATCTTATTTACATTGGTGTTCAATCTTTTATACATTCTGATTTCAAACTCTGATTAATATTCAAACTCGATTCTTAGATTCTACAAACATAATCTAGTAGGTCGGTATTGATGTCTTCGACC